CAGCAGGATCATTTGGGAGCCCTACAAGGTCTTCTTCTTCTTCACCATGTAATATCTCATCTCCCCCCAGAGATATACGATTAATCTGTTTACTCACTGTGTCTGGCAGACCCACATGAGTCAGACCCTTCTGGGAAGAAACATGTGCAGGGGTGTTGTAAAGGTCTCTGAATAAATCTGGACCTCCAGTTTCTCTGTCTCTGATGTGATTACGCTATTTGATATCCAGTGTGTGTGCATATAATACAATTTTGTGAAAATGAAAGCAGGGCATTTAGATGAGCAGGGTCATGATCTAGGAGCTGTTTTTGTGAGATGCTGTTGTGCTGCTTTGGAGTGGTGGAGAAGTAAAGCTACTACCAGTGAGATAAATAATCTAAAGGAGACTTTTTTTTTCTGAGAGGAAACATGTGGGAAAAATGTGGACTTTGAGCTGTTAGACACTGGCTATTATTGTTGTGAAGATGATGGGTACAGTCTGTGCTTCATAAATGCCAACATTCATCACCAGAATACAACACACACTGTTCAGTGACTATTTGGCTACAGCTGATAAGTCTGAGCTTTCATTTTGATTTTTAGGATGGATTATTTGTTTTTTGTAGTTGCCAATATATAATCATATTAATGAGACTTCACAAGTAATGTCTCTACAGCTAAGAAAAAGACTTTACACTTAAAAATAGGCAAAATATATTTTCTAACCAAACGTACACTACAGGTTCATAAATCACAAATTCCCTTTAGAGTAAAATGCAAAGTCCTGTCAGGGGTGGATTGACTTACAAGCTCTCAGATCTGACTCAGTCACATCAAAAGGATGATCACATATGACAGTGAGACAAGAACAAATTGTTTCTTAAATGTACATAATTGTGTTATCACACACATTTACTTACCATCACTGAGAATCAGAGAAACATTTCAGTATTTGTTTTGTCCTTGGCAGCACAAAAGCATTCTCGACAATTCATAAATTAAAAATGATTGTACTCTTGCATTCATTCGTTTCATTCAACTCACTAAAAATAAAATTATTTTCTTAAAATGTAGATATTCTGAATAGTTTTACACTAGCAGCAGGGGAGCAGTGATACCTGTCTGCATGGATTTTGCCAAGGCTATTTCCATATGATGCATCACAACATCTGCTAGCCAACTCACCTGAGGCCAAAGTCAAAGTATATGTGCATACTTCTCAACAGCGAATAAATCCAATAGTGAGCACTGTTTACACAGAGGCATGTGGATCTGTCATGGAGATAATACTGTAATGCTGCAAGTCACCACCAAATTGTTGCTCTTCTTTATGAGCTCAAATATGAACTTAGCCTCCTGGATGGCAGAGACATCGTTATAATAGGCTGGGTTTTTGATTACATCTCTTTCTTTTCATAGTACTCATTTGCAAACTATGGGTTGCTGTCAAGGAACTTCTCTACCGTATCTGTCATTTTGTCCAAATTTGGATGAACAATCCCTTCTGCACAATGATACTCATTCAGATGGGTACAGCCTGATGGAGGAGCTGAGCAAAGCTTTAGAAGTGACCTCAAAAAGACTACTGAGGCATCTCCCATACTACTCTGTGCACTCAGGATCAAAACTGCAGCTCCACTTTTCTTCTCACTAACAGAAGGTAGTACTGGGTACAAATGACTTTGATGCAAGGCCCATAAAGCTTCTGAACTTTGAAGAGGGCAGGGACAAAGATATCAAGGCTGGAATTGTTCCTTGGGGTGAGATCACTATATCTCTTCTGTAAATGTGCTGTGGTACACTGGCAGTGTAACATTTAAAATACCATGTGTTTATTTTAAAACACAGCCTACATAAAGCAAGAGCAGTGAAAAACTGATTACCTGAATAACTGCAGTGCAGTTGGTCAATTCAGAACTAGCACTGACATCCAGCAATACTGTGGTTCAGTTTCAAAATTCATCAACAGGCACTTCTGCAGTGAGAAATGAGTGCAATTATCTCATGAGCCTGGCCATTTCTGTAGCAGGTACATTTATTGTTAACTGCTGGTCGGAGTAATCTGCAGTTTGTCTTCTAAATAAGGTACTGCAGGTGCTGCTGCTAAAACGAAAAACTGAATTTATATTAGTCAGTCAATTACATAATTTACTGTTAATTTCTGAACATTTGGGTTATATTTTAACATTGAATACACAGTTCAATATTGATCATTTTATGGAACAATTATTATAAAAGATAACTAAGTTCATCTGTGTTGTATTACTGTAACAGATATTGCACATTACATTTAGGTTTCAAGGAAAAATACATTTTTGTAGATTGAAAAGAAATGATTGACAGCCACCAAATGGAAAAGATTTATTATAAAACTAACCATCTTTACATTGCTTGCTCTTATTAAAATGTTTCAATCTTAGCATTAGGTGTTTCTCAAGTTATTGCTTTTGAGAGTTTCGGCACCAGCTCAGGAGTGCAATGAGTAGGCAACTATTACATTTTACATTACAGGTATAATGTGGTTTATCCAGTACATTATGTTTTGTATAAGTCTAAATCATCTATATGAAGAAAAAAACTGTAATAATCATGAATGCCTTTGACCACTGCCACTAGGTCTTTTCCTCAGTGGCACTACAGCAGAACTGGAGCAGAGCTTGCCCCACCTGTTCCTGAACAGGCAGACAGAGTAGAGGATGGGATTGAGGGCAGAGTTGGTGAGTGTGAAAGTTACCACCCAGAAGAACATCGTGGAGGAGACATACAGGTGACTCAGGAAGTTTCTGGCCAGGATCAGTAAGGTGATGATAAATATGGGGCTCCACATGATGAAGAAAGAAAGAACCAGGACCAGAAGAGTGCGGAAGAGCTTCATATCCTGGCGGGAGACATAGTACTTGACAGAGTCTCCAGCTGTTGGCTGACTGTCTCGGATACGAACCCTTCGCGTATAACTTTTAGCAATCTGTAATACAAATAAATTCATGAACTGGCAATCTCTACCTGGTGATATTATATGGTATGGATAAAAGAAATACATTGAAGCCATTTATGCAACCTGACTGAGCTAAATATAGATTTACACATGGAGTATGAGCTCTTTTATGTTTGTCTGCAATGTGTCTCAAACTTCCATAAAGTCATCTGAGAGCTATCAATTCATGGCTTCTCAGGATCCTTGGCTATTGTCTGTATTACTTTAACGTCCACACTGGTAGAACTGATTGCCCAAAACAATATTGACACTTGATAGTGCAGTGCTCTGAACCCGCACACACACACAGGGACAGTACATTTTCAGCTTCAATAATTAATGAAGCATATGCACCTCTGTTCCCACAATGAAAAACGACTAATACTCAGAGGGTGAAAAGAGCAACGTCAATGTCTGTAAATAAATGAGCGTGAGGTGGTACGAGTGATTAATATCAGTTTCTTTATACAATTTTCCAATTCATGTGAAAATTCTTATTACTGTAAATGAATCAATATGTATTAAGACAGAAGTGCAAAAGTACATTTGTACAACATCAAAGTGAGGCCAAAAAGAAGAGAGAGCAAAGCATCTCAGTCATTCTACAGTTACAAATCTGATGGTTCTATCCCTTTTTATCCTCATCTTCCAAGATTTAAATTATATGGCTGGTGATTTTGGATATTTTTGTTATTGCAAACAACTCTCTTCATACAGCTAGCACGTACTGCCTGTCTCTAGACAGGGACATAATGAACAGGTACAATTGTTTTGAGTCAAATTCACCAGAGCTCCAAATGCGTAGTATTTAATCTTCCCAACAATAGTGCCCAACAAAGGCACCGTGTACTGTTTGTTACAAACTACAGTGGCCAGCTTTTTTTTTTTTTTTTTTTTT